TAAATCAACTATTTAGTAACAAAAATTTGACGAAAAATATATATCACTTTCCGCTTAATGGGATACGCCATATTAATGATTAAGTTCAAGACAACGTTTGAAACGCTGAGAGGGGAGGGGGAGTGATGGTCAACGTCACGATCTACGTCATCACTATCCCTGTCTATTGAAAAAAGGCCTCACGAATGAATGTGATGTCATCTATTCGTGGGGTTCCAAGCTAAGACGTACTTTCACCCTAGCGGTGCTCTGTTGTTAAACGAAAGGCGAACTTTCCCGTCTTAATTCGCAAAAGGCGATGGCTTGCGAGCTTGGCTTGTCCAATTATAAATAGAAATAATGATTTTTTCCCCTCAGAACAAATGGAGACAAATTTCCGATGTCACCATTGTTACTTCGTTAAGCTTAGAACTAAACACAGTGACACATAGACTTCATTACTTAATGGAGCATTTAAAATATGCTTCTTAAAAGAATGGCAGGAAGTAATTCCCGTTGAAATTTTGAAAAGTCTAAATAATTCGGTTCATCTTGGGGCTGAAGAGTCAAATCAAAAGCGAAGAAACGCTCTCCTAAAGACTTCTGACTTGTCAATTGTAACTTGCTGTTTCTATTGTTGTTAAAAAATTAAAATCAACACGGGCAAATAGAAAATTCACAAATTACAGATTTTTCGTTTCTACTTTTGATATAAACTGCAGAAGCTCCAGAAATCCAAAAACAAATTTCTTAGAACAATCTCAACTATAATTTTTTTTTCAAATCAAAGTTCGTTTCACATAATGGTATTCTTAGATATTTGTTTTTTTTTGCTACAATTTTTACTATCTTCACAAGGAACTCTGTAAAAAATAATTTGGCATATCTAAGCTTTTAAATACATAAATATATTAAAATAGTAATATAGTAGCGAGTCTGAAAGTTGCTATTCATTGGATGAGAATGCCAATTTAGATTGGGTGAGAATGCCTGTATTTAGATATAACTTTTTTTTCTTCTCAGAATCAATTTATTTCATAGTTTTTTTATTATATAAGAAGCCACAGATAACAATGTACGTTCCATTCATCAGTTGTCAGAATATTTCTGCTTAAGGTCTTACTTAGTAGGCTGGAGACCAAAGTCTCTAAAATTTAAAATCACAAAAAAACACTTCAATTCACAATTTCCTGCATATTGATTTAAGCTTTTGCAATATTTTATGTTTGTAGAGCTTAAGAAAATGAAGTGATAAGCTACACTTTTCCAATGGTAAATGTTTTACATCAAATTCCTCCTAAGTATTCGTTTCAAATAAGGTTCTTCAAATAAGGCTTTCTAAGGTTCTTCAAAAATTGCTAGTTCTTTTACACCAGTTAGCCTGGCATTATACATAATCAGAACTCATCTTACTATTCACATGAAAATCGCGCTGTTTTCCCCCTGAAATGTTCTCTTGAATAAAGTGTGGCTTACTGTTATAAAGCTCGCCAAAACCCTTTTACAAATTTTTATGCTACTACCGTATAATTTGTATTACTTTACTTATAATATCTATATAAAAGTTAAAAATTTATAATTTTTATACTTGTAATGATAATAAGTTATAATATTTATTTAATTTCGCAGAAAGACGTTTGAAGAAGCATTTATAAATAAATTATTTGCATCTTTAAACCCAATAAAACCATAGACATCACCTCAATTCTAATCTATTAATTAACAAAGAAAGTATGGGGGTATGGAATACAATACATTGTTTAAATAATAAATAAACCAACTTTTAAAAAGAAATTTCCAACAAAAAATAACCGAAACATTAAAAGATCGAATTCAAATAACGGAGATAATGAAGCTTTGAATTTTACGAACGAAAATTTTTTAATTGATTTTCAACTAAATAATATGACAATATAATTATTCAAAACTGCACTTTTAATTATGTCAAAACCTTTAATATGGCATTGTTTTTAAGCATTTTAATTCGTGTCAAGATATTTCCTGGCTCCTCAAGACATCATTTCTCTGAAAATAAATATTTTAACGCAAAAAAGGAGAGAGAAGATAACGAAATAACATAAAATATATATTAAAAGAAAATAAATTAACACAGAAACTCATTTATAATATTCTTTATTACTTAAAATCTAATATTTTTGCCTGAATGTATGATGATTCGATAAGTCAAAATAGTAAACAAATTAACATCAAAATAATTATAATTAATTGAATTTTTTTCTTTGTCTGATACTTGGAATAAAACAGACTTATATTGATTATATCTGAGATAATAATTCTAATTGCTAAATTAATGAAACAATCGCTTTTTTACATGCACGAGGAAGTGTTGTAAGCTTTTTATTATTTTTGAATTGATTTTTAAATGACATTATGAGTAAGAGATGGAGCCACAAGGCCATTTAGCTAAATGGTAACTAAATGATCATGAAATCATACCTAAATATAAATCATGAAAATTTATAATTATTTTAAAGGATAACATTTTTCACTCTTGTTTTCATAAGTATCCTCTTCAGCGACTCTGTAATTTACTATTTTAACAATAACTTTAGGGAAATATCCAGTTTGAAACTTCAGATTTATTAAAAAAGTCTTTTTTTTAAGAACTAGTTCGAATTATTAAACATGCATCATTCTTCTAACAATTTTTATTCTTATCATTTTCTTTTAAAACAAAATGAAATTCATTCAGCTTATGAAACAAACTATAAACAATTTGTTAGTATTGAAATGTATTAATCTAGCATTCTAATGATCCGATGTTCAAACTTAAAATAACTTTCATTTAAAATAAGGTAGAAATAACTGGATTTAATAATCTATATTTATACTTTCAAATATTATTTAAAAAATAACAATTACTTAACATTACTTATAATTATTTTCATAACAAATAAAGCGCACTAAACAGTTGCTTGAAAGCTCATTTTTGTAGAGCTTATTCATATGAAAACATATTTGAGCTGACGAAAAATCAGATTACTTCATAAGTAACTTATTATTTGCTTACATTTTAAAAGAAAAAAAGGACACTGGAGTATAATTTATTTATTGTAATTATAATAATTAAATTTTTTTCTTAAATTAGAACATTTATATATGTTTGTAAATTTTATATTTAAATTTATATTTTTTAAATTTAATTTTAATATATTTAAAAATAAAAATAATTGTTTTATGAATTGAAAAGAGTTCTGATTAAAGGAAAATGCTGTGAAGACTTATTGAAAAGCTACCCATCACCTTTACAAGTAAGATGTTTATCTTTAAAAAAAATAGCTAGAAATTTGTGATTTTTTACAGTTACAATCATATTTTCCAAAGAGCGTATAAGTATGGAAATCTAATCTTTTAAATAGGAGATATTAAGTTTATTAAACAAAGTATTTTTACGGTTTTAGCTGTAATGGCTATAAAAATAATAATTGCAATAATAAAAATAATAATGGCTATAAAAATAAATGGCTATCAAAATGAAAACATTTACTGTACAACACATTCAACAATAATTATTATTATTTACTTCAGCTAACTTTCAAATCAAACCCCTTACTTATTAGAAAGTATTCGTAATAAATTTACCCCAACAATTAATATCTGAATAAAGTTATAATTTTTTGCATTGTATTTTTCCACATAATGCACTGAATCAAATAATTTAATTTTCCTTTCTCATTCATTCAATGTTTGTTATTTTGTAAACTGCAACAATTCATAACAAATGTTATTGATCAAACACTTTTATAGACAAGTTTCAATTTGTTTAAAAGTAACTTATAAACTGCAGATTAAAAAAAAAATCACAATTTAATACTTTAACCATGCATAAAATTGTAGAATAGATTCAGCATTGCATTAGAAAAGCAAAACGCGTTCTTTTAATAATCAGCTAGGCTTACCTTTATAAATCTTTCTTCTGCAAAATCGACAATTTAGACTGTGAGTTTAAAATAGAATAAATCTTACCTTTCAATTAGCTAATCAAAGAAGGTGAGAAGAAGTTCAACATGCATATTTCTTATAAACTGAACTAATAGTATATGAACTGAAGTACCAAATAAAAAATACTAAATTTTTCTTGCACCAACTTGTTTTGATAAAAATGTAAAGTTTTAAACCACATCTAATTATTTAAATACCTTCCTTCTATACGAATTATTTTTTATTTTCGTACATCAAATGATGTATAATGAAACAATCTTTTAGAATCCCACAACATTTCAACTTATTAATTTTTTCAAGTTTATTGAATAATAATAATAAAAAAGAGAAAATTTATAAGGCACCTATAATATTTCAGTGAATAATGCAATGTGTGTAAATTTTCTTAAAATTGCAGATACTTTATAATCATTTAAGTAACCCAGATGCAAAGCCTGCTATCTGAAATCTAGGAGAAAAAATTCGCAAAATATATTACAATCGATTCTTTATTCAATTTTTGTTAGCTTAATATGTAATTTTTCTGAAATAATAGTTAAATGGTTTTGCAGTTTATGACTTTTTCCTCATTTTCTACCCTTAGTATAGGAACAGTCAACAGGATTTGCATCTTTGCTTATTCAAAGCATTGCAATTCATTCATTCATTTGCTTATTCATTCATTACACATGTCTGCAGTAATTACACGCAAGTAATTACATTAAGTGAATATTGAAACATGTTAATCAAGTTTGAAAAATATTTAACCAGAGTTATGTAAAAAATATTAAACAGGTTGTGCGAAATATTGTAAAAAAAGGCAAATTCATTTAACTGCGATAAATGAGATACCCAAGAGCAACGCTTCAATGTGTTTTGAGAAAACTCATTTTTTCAAAAATCTTATTTTATTTTTCTTCCTTTTCTTAGTGGAAATTCATAAAAATGAAACATTTTGCTTTGAATTATTTTTAGAAATGCACATTATACTATTATTCCATTCACATTATATTTTGAAGAAATTTAGAAATATATCGTTTAGATTAAGCAACAAATTGGCTTTCTAAAAAAATACTCACATGTTCATGAACTTCTGATACAACAACAAATCCATTGTTGTCTAGTAAAAAGCAATCCATTTGCTAAAAAAAAACAAAAAAAAACAACATGAAATGCAAATTTATATAAGTTTTAATTATATTGAAATATGTATTATAAACTAGTTTGAATGTCACTAATTGTAAACCATAAAAAGCGAAACAGTAGAAAATTTTAAAAATTGAACAAGTATTTCATTTTTGTACTTAAATTTGAAAGAAATTACTGTTAGAAACACACTTATCATTAATAATCAATCCGTTTTAAAATTTTAATAATCTGGCAAATAATAGGATTTAAACAAACTAATAACAAACATAACTTAAATGCAAAATATTTATTGTTATTAAACGTTAATCTTCAAATAAAACTTAAATATGAAAAAATAAATTATTTTTATTTTTATTAAAATGGTGTCAAAAGTCACTTTCTCAATTCCCTCACTCAAATTTCACGAAATAACCGAGATTATTTGTTTCCTTTGTAATTGTTTGTTATAGATCATAATTAAAAGTGTGAAATGATTTAAATTAATGTTTGATTAAAACAAATAGTTAATAATTAAAATTGGGAAATAAAAGATTTTACCGAAAACTATAAATTATTATATACTTACTTTGTCTGCACACTTGTATTTGCATGCTGTCATACACTAAAATAACGAAATGATTATGAATTAGAAGATATTTAAAAATATCCTTTTATGTTCAAAATCAAATTTAAAAAAAGGACACGAAAAAAATTTGCTACATAAGAAAATTAATTTGATATTTAAACCATTCCTTAATTTATTTTGTGAAGTTTCCGAAAAAAAAATCTATTTTTCAACTGAAGAGTCTCTTAAGTCTAATTTTTGCTTCATTTATTAGTGCAATTTTCGTTTTAAAATTAAACATAATGCTTGATGTATATTGTGTTTACTTTTTTTAATATGAAAATCAGCTATGTAATATTAGTTTCAGAAAAATCTACTTAAAAAAAACCTATAGGCGAAGAAAATTTTTAAATATTATTTACGTTTATAATGCAATATAAAGTTATAAAAATTTTTTTGATTTAATATAATAATAAAAATTAGTTGAATGATTTAATATTAGATACTGCATTGGAAACAAGTAGCATTTATTAAAGTTATATAATGTAACTGATCATCGAGGGAATAGTTTTTGCTTCTATGCGTTCTATGAGTTTTGCGTTTATGTTATTTTTTTTCATCTACTATCGGAGGCTTCGTTGTATTACATTTTATTCCATAAATTAAAATGCTATTTCATAAATAAAAATATTAAAAATAACATTCATTTTTTAAATTTGCTTTCTAAGGCTGGGTTTTAAAGTGTTAGCGTTGAAGGATCATCTATTATGAAACACCCGGTTTATATTTCTTAGCCATATGAAAATTACCATTTTAAAAACTAAAAAAGAAGAAAAAAATTAGAATGATATCTATTTTAAAGTAGTTTGAATTTTTTTTTGCGGAAATAGGGGCAGAATAATAATTGCTTTCAATACTTGATATGTCTAATAATACCTGTGACTTCAAATTGGGTGGTTTCTAAAAAGTTAACATAAAACACATGTTTAAAATACATAAAATTTAGATAACAAAAATAGCTTAATATAATGGAAATGTTTATGTGGGATAAAAGAAATAAACATTTCCTCTACCGTATTCCCTACCGTTCCTGTTACGTTGAAGAATCGCTCAACAAACGCCGCGTGCTTCAATTGAACTCCAACCACAGCTGCTGGAGCTCGCTTCTTGCCTTTCCCAACGAATATGGCCTGGCTCGCTGTTACCAAACTTGTATTTCGAGTACCTATTTTTAAACAAATGCAATAAAAATTTTCTTAAATTCCATTAAATTCAACTGTTATTACAAAATCAATACTAGGATCCATCAGAGGTATTTTTCTGACAGAAAATTCTAAGTTCATGGCACATTAATATTTCCTAGTTTTAATGAAATTTGTCCAAGCAGATTTAAAAAAGACTAATAAAGAGGATGCAGATTTCTTTTCACTCTAATTTTGTAGTATTTTCACTCCGTGGGCCATTGATACAGGGAACTATAAACAACTTTGACAAATTTTAAAATTAAAAAATGTATCATGATTTTATTAAAGATGCTACGCTTTTAAGGCCTCAAAAGTCATTTGAAAACCGAACATTAGCAGGATTCTGCTTAATCACACAGAGCTAATGTAGCACATTATTAAATTTTTAAGGCCACTTTATGCAACAGAGTTGTATTCAATGAATGTTTGGTACAACTTGAACACAAATTGACAACTTTAGTGCTAGATGAACTATATTGAAGGTAAATTTCGCTTGGTACATATTGTTTAACTTCATAAAATTTATAATAGTAACCCTTAAAATTCTTAATTCAAGAAATGGAATTAAATATCATTAAGTGAGTTACAACTCACAGTTGAAAATTTAGCATCATGCTTGCAACTCTGCAAAAAGACCATCTGTGATTCACTATGAAAGTTCATAAATGTGGTGCAGAAAGTAATGTTTAAATGTTTATTTGAAATTTTAGTTGTGATATCTAAATAAATATTGTAATTTCGTATCATATATGGTCAAGTTATTTCTTGTTTCCCTATTTACATAATTTTGAAGCAGGATTTTTAAAACTATCAACATAACGGTCTGATCATCATGGAATCTCAGAAGACATTTAGATCATTAAAATGATCTAAATGTCTTGTGAGACTTCAGTAAATCGTAGATAAAAACGTGTTTGTTTCACTTTAGTTACAGAAATATAAGATGTATAACTGCCAGCTGAGTGCAGGTGGTTATAGCATATCTATCATTACAAAGTTGTTATCTATAAAGAAAAAATTAAAGTTTCTTATTTTAGCAACCATTTTAGTCCTTAAATTTTACAATAAGTATATTTTAATAAAAAAGCAAGTTATTGTCATAAGAAAATATATTTTCTGAAAAAATGGTCGGCCGATATTAGGATAATACGAATCACGTGATATCACGTAATCCCACAACGTACGTGTTAAATATATAATAGTATACAGATTATTGAGAAATATTCATCTATTACATCTAAAATGGGTAATTCATTTTCATTGTTCTGAATCTTACAATTATTTGCAGACTCACGATACACGAGGAAATAATTTTACTGCAAAGAAAAAGTTATTCTTCAATTAAAATGAAAATTTTTAAGTAGTTTTTTCTAAGTAAGTGTATTAACCTAAATACTTTTTGAAGCACACGAAGTTATAACTATAAAGGTTTTGAATTTTATAATTAGAAGGCAAAAAATTATTACAAAAATGGAATTAAGAAAGATTTTTTTTAAAAAGAACTACTTTTTTAACTATAGAATTGCTTTTTTTATTAATAAAATTATCATGCTTCTTGTGTCATTTATCATATCGTCTTAATTTTAATATACATGTAAATAATATGCATATTAAATAAGATGAAATTATAAGCATGATGAAATTATATATGATGATATTAAGAATGAAACTATAATTAAGATGAACTTATGAAATAAAAGTACGAGTAAATATACCTCGTACTTGTAAAGTATTTATTATATTTTAGATTAACATACATAATCGTTCTATCCTTTAAAATAACTTCAATTAATTTTAAATTTCGAAAGAAATAAAATACTTTTTGAAGCTGAATAGATATTTAAATACCTGCATCAAATGGAACTGCAAACACAAAAGCTGTACTGTTTATGTGGTAATAATCCACAGCCCTTCTGTAAAAGAGTTCATCCGTAGCCCTTGTGTGAGTTTCATAGAAAGGTCTTTAAAAAATAATTATTCAAAATTGATTAAAAAACAAATTTTAACTATGAACTAAATTAGCGAGTTTATTATTTTTTACTTTACCTTTCAGTGCTATTTCCTTTTTCTTCTTCTGATCTATGATCATCATACCGTAAAAGTCCACTTCGAGTAGCAACAAAAGTTGTAACTATTCCATACATGTCAATTATTCGATCCCTGAAATCAATATTAGTATAAGAAAGAATTTCCTTAATAAGTCTAAGAATAAAACAGAAATTTTTTTTTCATACGGTAATAAGTCAAATAGCAAATAACTTAAAGCAAACAATTGTTACATAAATAATTTTTCAAAATAATAATAAAAATACATATTTTTCTTGTGAATTAGATTGAATTTATATATTGAATAACAGGCTGCGAGTTGCCTTTTGATCAAAATTTCGAATGTTACCCATTGTGAAATAAATATAAATTAAATAGTTTTTTTACTATTTTGATTTCTCTATTATTCACACTGGCTTTAGTAACTTTAATGAGATCTGAAACTATTATTCTTTAATGTAATCTCCCACTATCTAAAATAATAATTTGGTGTGTGAGAAAGTAATTAATGTAATTAGAATTTCATTTTCCTCACAGAAAGACTTAGAAATCGTAAAAACTGCCAGTGTTATGGCAGTGACAAATAATTCCAAAGAAAGTAAATAAATGAAACATGTTTTTTTTCATTTTCAAAAGTAATTTCGTTACTATTATAGGAGGGTTGCAACAATACAATGAGGAACTTGGCCTTCACAATAAATGCCATTCCATTTTTAGTAGGTTTATCGTACACGCAGCATTGAAATACTAGTTTTCAATCATATACAAAGCGTTACAGATAAAAATTTGCTTCACATATGCGACACCTAGAGTGCAAAATAGAGTGCATTTCTGAACTAAAAAATAAACGATTTTTAAAGTCATCCTCATTGTGTTCTTGGCATAAAATGTCAAAACATAATATACTAATACATTCAACAAATACATCTTACATAGATACTTACTTTCAAGATAGTGAAAGAAAAATTCATTAGTGGCAAGTGAAAATAATATACTTAAATGAATTGTGCATTTGTTATATTAGACGTATACTTATTTGTTAGATTATTCAGTTTAATCTAACAAATAAACTTATAAGAAACGGTATTTAAATCTAACAAATACTTTCGTGAATTAAAAAAAAAGTGTAAGTGCTTTACGAGTGGCTTGACCACTATTTTCCTTATATTACTAATGCTAAGAATTTCTGACTGAAACAGATTAGAATATACCTTTTGAAAATTTTTTTTCGCAATAAGTATCGCATTATATAAGAAATGTCATACACACAAAAATCTCAATTTTGAATTTTTATCACTTACATTAATTTTCTATTAATTGGCATAACATTTTTAATCTTGAAGGCTTGGTAGAAAATAATAATTTGCACTTAACTTAAAAAATATAATAATGAAAATATAATAATAAAAATAATAATAAAAATTAATGATTAACGAAAATAAAATTCTGTACATGGTAATAATGTTAAAACATTTTAATTAAGTTTTGCTTTAAATATGCTTTTCTTATCGTCACTATTTAAAAATGCACAAAATGATAAATGAAACTGAAATGGACAACATTTAAAAACATTTTACAATTATAATTATATTTATAGTAAAATCATTCCATACACATTTTAAGTTAATAGTTCAAACATTTCATTTCTCTGAAGTTTTTTCTCAAAATAGGCAAATTTGTTTATCTTATAATGAATATTTTAACCTGAATTGCTAATCACTTTTTAGTACTTTTTATAAAAGAAAGAAAAAGATTTTTTAATTTTGAAATTTTTAATTTTCGTAGCTATCTCATACAAAATTCAAGCAATAATTATAATCATATAATTTTGCATTATGTATAATAATTAAACTAAAAGTTAAGAAATTACGATAATTTTTGCATATACTCAGCTACATGGAGGAAAATGTTATGCTATGTCTCAAAGCTCTAAAAGGTACCTTAGAGAAATTTCTGGAGTATGCATTGTGTTTTCTTCATAAGCTTCTACTTTATTTTAAATTTGCATCAGATAAAAATTTTTGGGGGAAGGGTGTTTTCAATTACTGGCAAAATATAAGCTTGGAAATAATTACACTGAGATAAATAAGCGTTATTATAAAAGAAACTATGTAAAATAAAAATGCTAATTGCATGATGATATTGACACTAAATGCAAAGACTGTAGTAAATACCTGAGCACACGAAAATAAATTTTACCTTGGTAACAGAGCCAGCAGCATACCTAGTGGGCTTTAGCGTTAAACAATGAATAAAGGTTAGTTTACAATATATAAATGTTATATACAGTTGGATTTCAATGAAGTATCTCTCCATTGTATGGTTCTTAACACAGGTTCGATGATACTTACCATTCCTGAATGCTGAAAACAAAATTCTATATCATAATGAATATCTTATGTCATTATGAATATTGTGATGGTATCATAAATTATNACTTTTCAAATTTTTACTTTTCGTAGCTATCTCATACAAAATTCAAACAATAATTATAATTACATAATTTTGCATTATGTATAATAATTAAACAAAAAGTTGAAAAAATTACGAAACTTTTTGCATATACTCAGCTACATGAAGGAAAATGTCATGCTATGTCTTAAAGCTCTAAAGGGTACCTTAGAGAAATTTCTGGAGTATGCATTGAGTTTTCTTCATAAGCTTCTACTTTATTTTAAATTTGCATCATATAAAAATTTTTGGGGGAAGGGTGTTTTCAATTACTGGCAAAGTATAAGCTTGGAAATAATTACACTGAGATAAATAAGCGTTATTTTAAAAGAAACTATGTAAAATAAAAATGCTAATTGCATGATGATATTGACACTAAATGCAAAGACTGTAGTAAATACCTGAGCACACGAAAATAAATTTTACCTTGGTAACAGAGCCAGCAGCATACCTAGTGGGCTTTAGCGTTAAACAATGAATAAAGGTTAGTTTACAATATATAAATGTTATATACAGTTGGATTTCAATGAAGTATCTCTCCATTGTATGGTTCTTAACACAGGTTCGATGATACTTACCATTCCTGAATGCTGAAAACAAAATTCTATATCATAATGAATATCTTATGTCATTATGAATATTGTGATGGTATCATAAATTATCTACAGAAAGCGTCCAGTCCGTGTCACATGTGCCACAGAATGAACATGGCGGAGTCACATTCAGAGAGTCATTGAAAAATTTAACAAATTACGTTTCTCGTTTGGGAACTTACTCAAAATTCTTAAAATCCCAACTTATACTTCACAACTTTTATAATACAACAGAGGTAGAAAGAAGCATTGCTTATTCAAAAGCTACATTAATTATTTACTAACTGTTTAATAATTATTTAGAATTAAGTGTTTCAAGGTATTTAATTTTATTTTATGTCTAATCTAAATTACTGCAGTTTAAAAAACATCAACACTCAAACCTTAGTTAATTTTATTTGCTTCAATATTTTTTAAATCTTTACTACTCAGACTTCATGAAAAAAATTCGATATTATTTTTAGATAGAGTAGCACCCTTTGCAAAAAGTTTGGCCACCTCAATTGATCATGAAAGATTTAGTTTATAACAACTACCATGAAAATTTTGATTTGTAGATTTTTCTGCTTTATTTGTTAAATTTATATGCAATACATGTTAGTTTAAGATATATGTTATAATAGGTGAGATTTAGATAGTGAATAACAGAACTGATAATTAAAAACGAAAATTGAAAAGAAATATCAAGTTATAATATTCTCTACGCAATTTCTATTTTGTTAGCGTAGATTTACTTAAATCGAAAAATTTATGTAAAAAAGCCGTTGAAAATAGGTATGAATATGCACTCTTAGAGACATGGAAATATAAAACCTCATTGCCTAAAACATTCAAGGCTGAAACACAATTATTTTAGCCTCTACTGTTTCACTGTAAAATTCTTATTCGAAACTGCTAGCAATTTAAAAGATTTTGAGCAAAATTATTTCAAAAATCTTGCCGATTCTGAAGTTTCATCTACTATATGACACATGAAGTAAATTCAAAATTTAGTATCTATTAAAATACGATAAATTAAAAATTTTGTAAGAAACTGTCGAGACTGAGTAGTACTCTTTAAAATATTCGTAAATAAAGATAGATTTCTTGCTTTTATTTTGTATCATCGGAACATTTTTATACTACAAGGCGTTAGCAATTTAAAAGAGCGTAAATAAAGATTTAAAAAATATTGCTTACATTGTTATTTTTTACTTATTATTAGAGCATGCCAAATAAATTAAATATTTGAAAGTTAATGACAGTAAATAATAATTTAAATAATAAGAAGCAAATTTAAAAAATATGTTCTGGAGTTTGAAGAGTGATCTAAATAATTTCCATATTTTGCTTGCACTGTTCATAGGGAAACTGAAGTAGATTGCCGTTTAAAAAAATTTAAAATAACTTTTTTTCATTCCTTTAAAATTCATTATATCTCAACATTAAGCTTTAGAAAAAAACTAACTATTTAATTAAGCAAGTTTGAAATTGAGTTAATTAAGCAGAATGCAAACTCATTACACGATAAATTTACAATTGTCAAAATATAAGTTTGTACTAGGGACGCTTCATTAATTATTAACTTAGAAATTTTTTATGTTATTAAAAAGTGATGTTAAGATTAGTATATAACTTTTCAAAGATTTTTAAATGTTAAAAAGAATATAAATGGTTGGTGTTAAATATTTATCGCAATCTAGGTAAATATTTTCGTTACAATAAATAAGCGAAAAATTAGTGTTCCTGCTTTGCAACTGCAAATCTTAAAGTATGCAAACCTTAAAGTTCTTATTTTTTAAAATTATAATTTTTTTTAAATGTATTTGATACATTATATGGTTTTAAGTATAATTCTAAGCAAACGAACACAATTCCAAAATTTTCCTCCTTATTTACGTAACATTTAATTAGCTGATTTTTTTAACTATTTGATTGATGTATTTTAGATTCTACAGCAAATTCTGAAAGTTTGCAAATCTCTTGAAAGAAGTGAAATTCTTTCAAAAACTAGAATAACTGAAATATAATAAAGTTTTCTTATTATAATAACAGAGTACTCCACAATGACCACTTTTAATATGCATTTCA